AGGAGGAACAGTGATTTTTCATTGCACTAGCTTCTTGGCATTTCATTTTTTCTTATGTAAATCAAGAAACAGTTTATTTCTCTTTCTGTATGAATTCTAAGAACACCATTTCTGTTAGTGATCACTGCAGATTCCTGTACATCATGGTATTCTGATTATCTCTGTTTGGCCTTGTTGTCAAATGTAGTAACAATCATTGAGTACTGCACATAGCAATTTCAACAAACTCATTGGCACTTGGGAGTCCAGTTTCTTGACAGGCTCTCCCACTAGGTGACTCTGGCTTACAGAGAACAGCCCATCACTGAGTTCTCATTGCTACCAGTGCTCCCCTCACCAGGGCATTCATTATGTCTCAGTAAACGGATGTCCTTTGGGATCTCTCAGGGCACACAGTCAGGTGGTGGTTTCTCAGGTCTTACGTGGTTTGTCTGTTCTGTCTTTCCCATCTCCCTGAATTTCCCCGATCCCTTCCTAATATCATATCAAAGAAGTTGCAGCAACTCCAACTTACATACCAAGTCATCAGTGTGTCCAAGTTCCATGGAGTCATCCAAATAAAATATGAGACCTGGATTTATGTGCCTATGCCAGCATATTGAGCCCCAAATCATTACTGAAAGGCCCTCATTCAATTTTCCATATCGATGCAAAAGTAATTGCGGTTTTTGCCAATTACTTTTAATGGCAAAACCGCAATTCATTTTGCACCAACCGAATACAAGCTAAATAAAGAGGACCTCTTGGTTCTTGAGGTGGGTCACCAACCTCAAGACCCATTTCCAGCATGTTTCCTTATTCCTACTGAGATATTAGCAGTATAAGATAGTATTAGCTTAAAGCTACTTTGCTTTGGAAGAGAAACTGTGCCTAACTGATTGGGCTGTGCCGAAATCTTGATCTGAAATACTGAGGACTGGTAGGGCAGATCTTGTGAAAAACAAGCGTTAACTTGCCTGAGGTTGAGTTAGTTGAACAGTATCCAGGAATAGTGTGGCTATTCTTCTCTTGCAACGGGGAGGAATCTGCTTCTCGTGGCCCTGAAGTTTCAGGGAATCTGAGAGTTAAATATTTTCAGCTTCATTCACCTAAATATCCTTATCTCTGGTCCGAGGGTTTACTTTTTGGGGTCAGGACCATGATTGTAACATAATTGCTTCAGCAATTACTAACCCTCTCCTATATTATTAAAATTGCCCCCTCTATTAAATCATTTCAATTTGCATGCCCTCACCATATCATCCTATAGAAAAATAAAACCAATGAAAACACTAAAACTTTGCCTCATTTCCAAACTCCATTCTGTATTTTCCTCAGTAACAAAACTTACTAAAAATATTATGTATTCACCCTGTCTGTGTGTTCTCATTTCATTCTCTCCCTAACCTTCCCCGCTGACCTAGCCTCCACTGCCTTTGCTCTTGTTGGAGTCACCAATTTTATCCATGTTGCTAAATCCAATGGCTACTTTGTCAGTTTAGTTTTTCTCAGCAGCATGTGAAAAGCTGATATCTCCCTCCTTGTAACACAGTGATGTGAGTTACATTTCTTTATTACATTTCCATTCCACCACACTCTCTTTGCTTTTTTCTTGTCTTCCTAACAGAAGATAACAAATGAGATGCTTCTCGTTTTCTTTTGCTTTTCTTTTTTTTTATCCATCTAACCTCGACAGATTCAAACATCTCAGGGCTCAGATACGGTGTCACTTCCTCATCAGTGATTTATTTTTATTTTTAAAGGTACTCCCATTTACATGGTGATGACTTTGGAATTTATATCTCTGATGTTCTATCGTTAGTTACAGATTCATATATCCAATTATCTATCTGAGCTCTTCACTTGGTTATTTCATAGATGTGTCAAGCATAACATGTAAAAAACATAATTTTTATTTCTAGTAATTACTCCCAAAATCCTAAATAGCCATATACTGCCAGTTGTTATGTCCTTTGCAGGGGCATGGATGAAGCTGGAAACCACTATTCTCAGCAAACTAACACAAGAACAGAAAACCAAACACCACATGTTCTCACTCATAAGTGGGAGTTGAACAATGAGAACACATGGACACAGGGAGGGAACATCACACACTGAGGCCTGTCAGGAGGTTGGGGACTAGGAGAGAGATCTCATTAGGAGACATACCTAATGTAGATGACGACTTGTTGGGTGCAGCACACCACCATGGCACTTGTATACCTATGTAACAAACCTGCACGTTCTGTGCATGTACCCCAGAACTTAAGGTATAATAATAAAAAAAAAAGTTGTTTTGAATCCTCTTGTCCTTTAATTCCTGTCTTTATCTAATCATTCACCAAGACCTAGCAGCTTTATCCTACATAATATATATAATCATTCATTAAGAAAATCCCCTAACCCCATTGCCACCATCAGGTCTGAACCATCATGATATCTCATAGGGACTGCTTACTGTAATAACTTATCAGCTTCCTAATTGTACTCCCTCACTAAAGTATACAGTATTCTTCCTATAACTAAAATGAACTTAAGTCTATATTTGAGTCAAATTATGTTGCAGATAGCTTTAAATTCTTCAATGTCTTTCCATTGCACTTAAATCCAAATTCCCTCTCACGACCTACAAGGTCTTTTATGATCTTGACCATGATCTCCTGCCATTCACTCCTTGCTCATCACACTTTGGTCATTCAGACCTTTGTCACATTTTCTCAAACATTTGCTCCTTAAGGTCTTTGCACTTACTTGCTCTGCCATCTTTTGGAGATGTTATTTCTCCAGGATGTTGTATGACTAGATTATATTTGTCATTCAAGTCTCAACTAAGAGTTCATTTTCTTGGGTTGATCTATCCTGACTATGCTATATACAGGTATCCTTCACCTTCAGTTGTTCTCAATTGCATTAATCATGACTCATAATAATTTCTTTGTTTACTTGATCATTATTTGTCTTCCATAATGCTTTCTATGACTGTACATTTCATGAGAGCATGGATTTTGTCACATTTGATCTGTATTTTCTGCACCCAAGATAGAGTCTAACAGTCAGACATTCAATGTGCTAATGGATATCTTTTTATTAAGCTGGGAACGAAAACAGAAAAAAGGAGTCTTTCTGGGTTTTCTGTAGCCCCTTCACTACACTCACCTAGAGAAAGCTTGAAAACTCTCTCCTAAATACTTGGAGTGAAAGACAGTGCAAATATTTCTTTCAACCCTGAGTTATCATCTTTGCATAATTTCTCAGAATTAATATAATCTCAGAAGAAAATATACTTACCTTGGTTATATTACTTTCATCCTAGGTAGACCAGAACGAGAATTATGTACAGTAAGAGGTTACTAACACTGCTACTATTTCTACCTCTGTATCCTTTGCCTGACTGCTGACCACAGAGAAATTGAATTTTGAGGTGCCATGTTTGCAATTAAATTTCTAGGGTCCACAATATAGAGGCACCAAATGTGGAGCTTCCAAGATTCCAATCAGCCTTCAAGTTTCCTTTATTTCTATGCCTAAAAAATTAACACAAACTGGGCCCTGGCTCAGTTAGGGTATGGGGAAAGGTATTCTTTGAGACAGTATTAAAAAAAAGTAAGCTTTAGCCTATGCATCTAATTTTCTTTTCTTTTTTTTAAATTACAAGGTACCCAAAGCATCTTTGTAAATTTAGCAGTTAAATCAATGTGTATCTTTTTCACTTTCAGAGTCAGAGAGGAAAAATGAACAAATAAAACTAGTATAAAACTAATTTTGATTTTTACCAAATTTATTGATGAGAACATTTATATCTCTTTATTTGTAAATATTTTCTTTTTTGTACACAAAGTTCCTGGCTACTCTAGGCTGGTTAGTACAGGATTGATCATCCCAAAATATCTTTGCCACAATACAAATGATGTGCTTTTGATGGCATGTCCCAAATGCATATTTCCTTTTGTGGCCTGACATATGGTATTGTCTCGAGAATATTCAATATATGCTTGAAAAGAGAATGTGTTCTCTCTTCCTTTTACGGAGTCTTTCATAAATATCAGCTCGGGTTGCTTGATAGTGTTTGTTAATGTATTCTATATTCTTACAGATGTTTTGCTGTTCTACAAATTACTGAAAGAGAATCATTGAACCCTTTTTAAAAAGATATCTTATATACAATCCAAACAATGTTTCCCTGGGGTGTAGAGATGATCTACATTGAGGCAATATATCCTTTGAGAGTTTTGACATTTTAACATAACCATATATAAGCTTTTGATTGAAAGTCTTATCACAGCATCTTGACAATCACTGCCTGGTGCAGTCCGTGGAAGTACCTCTTTTGTAGAGAAATTTTGTTTGATAAATAATTAATAGTTCAGTTTAGGCTTCTTATTTTATAAACATTTTCTACATAAATTTTCCCTTTTTACTTACAGATTATCCTTCATTCATTGACCTGCAATGCTCAAATAATCTTTGAACTTACTCTGACAATATATTTATCCATAATATATACCTTCACTGTGATTGTAATAAGATTATTCATAGAATTCCACAGCATTTATTAAGAACTGTCACTTTAGTGAGTCTTTGCCAAAAGTAGAGCTTTGCAGGGTGATCTGAGAAGAACAATCTAACGAAGACTATGAGAAGGAACTAGTTGCTTTTCATAAAGATGCAAATACCAGCAAGATCCTATTACAGTTCTTTTGAATTAGTCACACAACTTTGCATCTGGAAACAGGGTTTAGAACTATGAAAATGCCCTCTACTCTCAATAGTTGATATTAGGATATTAATTTCTCTTTGTTCTGAAACATGTTTTCAAAAACAGCAACTCTAAAGAAAGGAAGAGTGAGAGAAGAGAGAAACAGGGAGACACAGACAGAGTCAGACACAGAGATACAGAGATCCAGCCAGCTGTACATAAGATTCACTACATTACAATTACAGATATACTAATTAATTAATTAGTGTAATTTAATTAATTAAACAGATATACTAATTGATTAATGGAGTCATTAATCCATAAAACATTAATGCAACAACTGAAGTTAATTTAGAAACATCTTATCTTTGTTTGTCCTAGAAAAGCTTAGTTTTTCTTCAGATCTGTTTATGTTGTTGAAATTTTCTTCCTTTTATAATAGACATTACTGTCCAAAGCACCTTTAGAGATGCATGTCTTAATTTATTGTTCCCCAGTATTAGGATAAATGAATGGCTTGAGGGGTAGATTAGAGCTATGAACTCACCAAAAATCACAGCTAATTCCGTCTCTGGAATAAAGTAGCTGGAGGTGGCGATGAGAAAGGACAAATAGTAGGCAATAAAGAGGAAAAGGAAGGAAATGACAGCTTTCAGGGCTCTCACATGGGCTTCTGTGCTGGGGTCTCTGCACCCCGTGGCACTGAGCTGCATTCGCCTGATATGTCTCCACAGGGAGAGGATCAAGAGGAAAAATGACATCAGGCACACAGAAAAGGGGAGCAGCGTTACTAGGTTGAGATATAACTTGGTAGAAGCATGTTGAGCTTTAGTTACTCTGCAACTCCAAGTTAAGTTTGTTTTCCTCTTTGCCTTCACACAACGCCTGAAATCAGCATTCAAATTCTCAGTGGCTGGAAGGTTAATAAACACAGAGAGAACCATGCACCCCAGTAGAATCCAGGAAATCACCCTGTCAATTCTCCACTTCATCCAGAGGAAAAGTGGGTGATAGAAATTAGCTATCTTGAAGAAATAGTAAATGCTGAGGCAGGTTGCAAACCAGATACTTAAATGGTTGGTTAGTGTCCAGAAGAAGTCAATGATTCTCATTTGTTTACCAGTGGCATAGACATCTGGATACAGCACCAACATAAAACAATCTAATAATATTACACATAATAGACAAATTCTGGAAATGGCCAGACTTGTGAGGATTAAATCAATGGAGGCAATTTTCCTCTTCTTGACCCAGTCCATGCAGTTTACCAATCCAATGAACGCATTCCCTAAGATACCCACTGAAAACTCTCCAATTGCTAAGAATAGTAAAGTAGTCTGTACTTTATCTGTCATGTTTAAATAGAGAAATATGCAATTAGTTTCTAGTTGACCTGATGGAGTTTGACATCCACACCTGCTTGTTAGATTTTGATGTAGTTTTCAACTCTTTGTTGTAGTCTGTCTTGTGATGGAGACTGGAATGATAAATGAAGACTGGAGCTATCTTCATTAAATCCTAATTAGTCTTGACAAACAATGTGGTTGGTGATCCTTGGTCTGGCCACTGTATGCCCATTTACCTACTCAGTAGGTTGTAATTTTCCACATATGGTTAATTTAGGCTGAGCTACTTTACTAAGATGCAAATTCAGTCAATTCCCTTTCATGGTCCTGCATTGTCTTTCTGAGGCTAAGGTGTGTGCATTTTGGATTCGTTAATTTGTGATGTATATTAGTAACCTCAATAGGGTTTCTAGATTTAGCAACTAAAAATTCAGGACACCCAGTTAAACTTGAATTACAGGTAAGAAAATGAATAATTTTTTAGTGTATGTCCCAAATTACTTAAGATCAGGGCTTTCAGGAAGTACTGAAGTTCAAATTTGATTGAGTGCTCCATTCTGGCAACCTAAACATCAAGAATTTGGTAGCAAGTATAAAACTAGCAAAAATGGAAATTTCTTGAAGAATTTTTATTTTCCTGAATGTTAATATTGATAATTAGTCAAGAATCCAAAATTTGGTTCCATAGTGAGAGTTATATATTTTCAGGAAATTTAAAAAGTTAACACTAAATATAGATTATTTGATTCCAAATAAACTTTAGGTCGTTATTTTGGCCATTCAGATGAATAGTTATATGGCATAGTGTCTCTTTAATACAACACATTGTCTTATTGACCAAGTGACATTTAATGGTTACTTAACAATGTTATATATAATAAAGCAGAGGACCTATAATAAAAAAAGCTATTGATTATCTTTAAATTTTTCGTTTTCTCTTAAAATGTTCTCAAGGAAACAAGGTAACGTCTGTTACCTTGTTTGTGGTGATGATATCATGGGTCTTTGAAATTGTATACATTAAATATATGCAGTTCTTTTTATTGATTATCTTTAAATTTTTCATTTTTTCTTAAAATGTTCTCAAGGAAAGAAGGTAATGTCTGTTACCTTGTTTGTGGTGATGATATCATGGGTCTTTGAAATTGTATACATTAAATATATGCAGTTCTTTTTATATCAATTATACTTTTATAAAGATTTAGAAAAATTTAAAAAATGTTCTCAAGGGTAGTTGTATGCATGACAGGGAAGATAGTAAAATTCTGTATTTCATTCTTTCCACATTCCTTTATGCAAACTGCATGAGTATCTAGATCCTCAACCCTTCTAGCAGCAGACTGAAGGTTAAACTTTCCACATCTCTAGAGATGTATTCTTAGTTTGAAATAGCTTCTCTACTTTAGAGTTACTGAGAAGTACTTTACTACATGATGTTTCCATAGACTAGTTTTTGGGTACTCACATCTTCCTAGGAACGCATGTCTTCTCTTATCCTTCCTTAAAGGACAAACCTTCATTCCAGAGATGTAGCCTCAATTTTGGACAGTCTGCATGATTATGTCGCCATGTTCACAGAAAACTGGAACATCACCTGTGATAGGATGACCTTGGAAATGATCCCTGACCTAGACTCATCATTTCTTTTTATTTATTTATTTATTTATTTATTCATTCATTTATTTTTATTTCTGAGACAGAGTTTCGCTCTTGTTGCTCAGGCTAGAGTGCAATTTCGGCTGACCGCAACCTCCACCTCCCAGGTTCAAGCGATTCTCCTGCCTCAGCCTCCCAAGTAGCTGGTATTACAAGCATGTGCCACCATGCCTGGCTAATTTTGTATCTTTAGTAGAGACAGGGTTTATCCATGTTCGTCAGGCTGGTTTTGAACTCCCGACCTCAGGTGATCTGCCATCCTCAGCCTCCCAGAGTGCTGGGATTACAGGTGTGAGCCACTGTGCTTGGCCTAGACTCATCATTTCTATCCCACAGTGTATCCTGGTAAATGAAGTGCTCACGGGAACTATGATGACATATTTGCCCAAATTATTTTTAGACTTTTGTTTTGTTTGGTTTTGGAAACAAATGTAGATCTTATGCATACCAATGTTGTATAGCATTAAGTTATGTGAATATATAGTTAAGAAAAAAAGTTCTACAAGACAGCATTTTGTCAAAAGCTTACTACTTTGAACCCCAGTCACTGTGGTCACTGAAGATGTTTGAAACATTGGAGAGGCAAGAAACAAAATACGGAAGAAAAAAACTTAAGCCTAATGGGGTAAAACCTTCTCAAAAGTACTAATTCAATAAAACATTTATTTCATCTAAACATTTAGAAAAATATAAAGTTCATCCTAGCATAAAATCTACAGGTATTTTGTAGAAAATAATATTCCATCAAGAGAACATGAATTCTTCCATCTTGTACAATAAAGAGTAACATAAACAGCTAGCATGTTAAAAATACAGTTCATAAATTTATATACTTAGGGCTATAAATATTAGTAATATACAGAGTGAGTTTTGCATAATAATAAGACAATTGATAATTTTCAGGTAAGTAGTATTTTAGTTACACTAAAAGGAAATTAGTAGATTGAAATGCATCAGAATTAAACATAGAAAGTAATGGGAGTAAAAGCGACGATGTACAGCCATGTTAGAACGTACACAACCTGAGATATGCCAGACCAAAAGTTTCAATAATATTATAGTGAGGATGGATTTCATGTTCACAGAAAAATTAAAAAGTTTAGTTACTTATTTTCCTTCTTTTTAAATAAAAATTATTCTGTATTTTTTGTAAACATTTGTTGCTTATTCCAGTGACGGTATGTGCTTATTCCATGGTATATGCTAATTTCTTCCCAATTCATTTCTTTGTTAAGTCCTGAGTGAAAACCTTTGCAGGGTCTGGCTAGAGAAAAGAACCTGAGTGGGCAGTCTGACTGATATTTGTTATCCCCATTCTTTAATCCAGATTGTGAAGAGGGCTTAGGAACACCCCTTAGTGGGTGGTACTTGAATGGGTTTGATTCCCACCCAGGTGCTCCATGAAAAGCAAGTTGTTTGAGAGGAAATTTAATCTCAAGGAAAATAAATAGCATCAGAACAAGGTTAATCAGAAAATATTATCTAGGAGACCACAGAAAGCATCATTCAGGAAAACCAAAGACCAGAGAAGATCTGAGTTCCTAGTTAATAAGCCAAATGGGAGTGACTCAGTAGAGCCATGAAAGGAGCACAGTTAAGGAGCGGCAATAAAAATGTATGACAGAGAAAAATGAGAAATCAGTTACTGTAGCTCAGGTTAACTTTACCATGAGCCAGAGTAAAATCTAAAAAGATTTTAACCAGGCAATACATGCCTAACATTTGCAGTGAGGAGACAAGAAGAGAACCATGAGCTCTGAAATTCTTCGAGGAAAAGGAGGGTAAAGATGAGCATTTCTGGGTTGTAAAGAGATACAAACGATGTGTTCATTAGTTTGCTACTAGATCCTGATAATACTTAAAGATACGCATCTAAAATAAATGAGATAACTAGGGAAAATGAGAATAGACTTATAAGAAAATTATATTTTTTGTTAGTGAATATTTGATTTTAAATTCTATTTATACGACTAAGATTTCCTATCACGCAGGCAATTTTTCTGCACGTCAGCATTCTGACAGATGCCTGCCTCAGTTTGTTATTTAAAATAATTAAAATAAGTGAGTGACCCGAGGGATAGAGAATTGCTACAATCTCTCCAAACGCCATAGCTAACTTGTAGTTTGTAAAAAGATAGCTAAAGTTGACCAAAAGAGAAGTAATATAGTATAGGAAAAAAAAGAAGATAAGCAAAGTCATAGTTTTAATGGCTCTCACATGAGCTTCTGTGCTTGGGTCTCTACCGCCAGTAGCATAGAGTTTTATTTGCTTGGTATGTCTCCATAAAGATCTTACTAAAAGGAAAAATGACATCAATGACACAATAAATGGGACAATTGCAAGCAAGTTAAAGAGAGTCAAGGGTTCAAAATATGGCATTTTACTCACATGGAACATTTCAGTAACGTTTCTTTTATGTTTGGCAATTGCATGAAACCTATAATCATGACTCAGTACTGTTGCTATTATAAGACTGACTAACAAGGAAATGGCAAAACATCCCAGCAGGATCCAGCGAACCACCATATCAATTTTCCGCTTCAGCCAGAGAAAAAGTGGGTGAGAGGAATTGGCTACCTTGAGAGAATAGAAGACATTAAGGCAGGCAGTAAACCACATATTTAAGTAGTTGGCAAATGTCCAGAAGGTACAAATGACTATCTGTAGTTTACTTTTTGTATAAACGTCCGGGTAAAGTACTATTACAATGCCATTTATAACCATTACACTGATCAAACAAATTCTGGAGATAACTAAATTGGTGAGGATGCAGTCAATTGTGGAGATCTTTTTCTTCTTAATCCAGTCAATCCAGTTGACTAGTCCAATGTATCCATTCCCCAATATTCCTATTATGAATTCTCCAGTTATTAGGATTATAAAGATGTTATCTGCAGGACTGAACATGTTTGTAGAGAGAACAATCTGATGTCAAATATCACCGTAGATGAGCTAATTTACAGGTGATGTGTTGAAGCATGATAAATAAATTCTTCGAATCATGCAATAATGTATTCATCTGCTATTATTTTGACTTTGTTATCATTCCAGAAGTGTTCAGCTCTCCCCTGAAATAGGATTGTCTCTACATTCCTGAAGAAGAAACCAACTAATTGCTCCAAATGAGCAGCTTGACTACTTATAGCCTGGAAAAATTATAATTGTTACCCTTTAGTGAGTGATAACTGATATGCTTGGCTGAAATTGCTCTCATGCAAATTCAAAGAGATTTTATATCACGAATTTGCAACAGGCTTCTTGCTGCAGCTCTATATTTGGACCTTCAAACTGAGTTTTGAATAGGGAGTCACAAAAAAAGAGATAAATGTTTGATAAAAATCCAACTGTGTAATTAAAACTTCATTTTCATTATGTAAGTAATAAATAAGCCACAAATCAGTTCTCCCAGACGC